TATATATATATATATATATACCATATACTCACATGTGCGTATGTGAGCACACATGTAGAGTGGTCAGGTGCATTAGAAATGACGGCGGGCCAAACTGTGCGATGTGTCAAACCGTGATTCTGATTGGAGAGCAAATGTTTAAAACACGGGCAGGCTTTCAATGTTGCATTTATTCGCAATCGTTTTAATTTTTACATTAAATTTTTTAATTTTTTGGGGATTCTCGTTAGGGTGAAGATGGAGTGAATTAATTATTGTTGTTCAGCAAAATTCAGTCTACATTTTCAGAAATATTTAAAGAAGCCTCTAAAATGCTATATGCAAGATTTTAATCAAATGTGGAAACCAATAACAATTTTTTATAAAACGTTCCGGTAGTTTCAGCAACATTTGAAAACCTGCATGCGTCGAATACATTATAAATATTTTAAAAACACCTCTAAAATGCAAAGAATCTCTATGAGCAGCAGTTTTAAACAAAATGTGAAAATAAAAAAATAAAAATTTCGGTGAAAAGATTTTGGCGAAAATTTGGAAGCCTGCGCGCGCGTTTGGATACGTTACAGGCGGCGTGGCAGACGACGATGACGAGGAACGATGCCTCGGCCTGGGCCTGGGCTTCCGTCGCTGCAGAAAGGGTTAAAAGTCAAGGTTAAAGGTCGACGACGACGAAACGCCAGGTCATTTTTCGTTCCGGCTCTAATTTTTTCGTTTCTATCCCGTACAACTATTGTTTCCTCCATGATAACTCTGTGTGTGTCCATGCCATGCCCACCAACCCCCCATTCTTTATGTCCATCAGGGGCCCCCCCCCCCCCATTCTGTATGCCTGTCATAGACAGCCACACTCCATACTTTATCTCCGTGTTGGCCACACCCACCCACCCTACTCTGTATCTATGTAAGCAACAACCCCCACCCCCTTCTGTAAGTGAGGAAGACATACGTTTTCCCCACGATAACTCTGTATATGTGTGTCCATGCCATGCCCACCCCACCTACTCTGTATGTCTGAGAGGAACACAACCCCCCTCCCTCCACTCAGTCTCCACGCCAACCCACCCACACGAACCCACGAGCGACCGGGTGCCCCATACCTTCTGCTTGTGCGTGGCGGCGGGTGAGGTCGTGGAAAGGTCGCTGTCGGCCCACGAGTCGCTGTCGCCGTGGTGCCTCCCCGACCTCCGACTGACCTCCGCCTCTTCGTCGCTGTCGCCTGCCGAGACAAAACAAGCGAACATCTACGTACGATGCCGGTAGATGTCGGGGCGCTCCGAGTAACGCCAAAATGCTCGTACATGCGGTTATATATGAGTTACATACGATCAAGATACGATGTGTATACAAAGATACGATTGTATATCAAGATACGATTGTGTCTCACGATGTGTTATTATCTACTCTTGATACGATATATACTTTAGTTAGTGCTACCTGATTGCTTGCATGCTAGTTAAGAGTGTCAGAACATGGATGTATAATGATCATGCTACAATATGTTACAACGTGCTATACGATAACACCCGGCATGAGAAATTGCACGATTAGTGGCGTACCAAAATCTATCATGATCATTTGGCTCAGAGCCAAAAACAGATAATTAATTAATAGAGCATGCAGAGTATGCAGCAACTATCCTTGGCAGTTAGGGTTCTTGGCAGGCGAGTCGGCCTTGAAATGAGTTTCACAAGTAGAATGCTTCGGGGAATAGGAGGATTTAGAAGAACAATCAAATTGCATTGTTATTATATATTCCAATTTAAATTCTAATGCAAGTTCCCTTCTTGAATGAACGTTTTATTAAAATTTTAATTTAGCAGGCTAGGTTATATTCATTTCTAAAAGTTTGTTTTCAAATACAGCCCATATAACTACTGTTACAGCCACACCTACATCAACGCCCAAGAATGTCAATCTAAGTGGAGTATCCATTGTGTAACAAAATTTTTGTAAATATAAATAAAACCAAACCATAACCCTAAATCCTAACCCAAACCACAATCATAACCCTAAATAGAATGGGTATTTGCTAGGACACACAGGATGTAGTGGCAGTGGACCTGCGTCCCACAGAGACGGTCCAACCCCCCCACCCCTCACACATGCAGGGTAGTGACAGTGGATCTTCATCCCATAGAAACACTCCCACGCTTCCCTTCCCATGCGTCCTCCCCTCGTATAACACCGCGCCAACCCCGCCCTCCCCTCGTATAAC